ACTATAGCATTTTGTATTGTTACTTTTTTAATATATTGAAAAAATAAAACAAACAAAAAAATAAAACAGGAAACACCGCTGGGTCCCGGAGAGAAAAAAAAAGAAAGAAAAAGAAAACAGGAGCATGAATTCCTTGTTTTCACTCCATACCCAGGGAATACATGGTTACTAACCAAAATGACCGCACACAGCTCTGTGGATTTCTGCCGATTTTAAGGGTCAAGCATACGAAATACCTTGGGGCGAACTAACAGTATTGACCTATGTCATTGGGTTGCTGTCTTCAGTATTCTTTTTTTGAAAAGGCAAATATACTCAGACAGATGTGTCCACTTAATGATCTAAAATGTCAAACCACAATTTAGAAAAAGATTCTGGCAGGGAATCCTAAGACTGGACATATGTTGTGGTACATTTCTTCAAAACTCCCTGGGAAAGGAAAAGGAACATTTCACAGTGTGGGCCATATGTTTATAGCTATATTGGACTCTCATTTCAAATGAGCTTGCAAACCAGAGTCTAATTTTACAGAAGTACCAGCTTATCAAACACCAATAAATTTCAGCTGGAACAACAACCACTAGCAGGATTAAGGATCAGGCTTGGGAGCCGTGGCCTGGATATAACAGAATGAAGCAGGACAGGATTGCATCTGCTGCTTAGTTATTAATTTGTGCCGCACCTTATTCCACAAAGGACTCCGGGCAGCTTACAGAGACACACAGAATGCAATAATATTATGAAAAGTAAAAGTAGCGGGGAAAATTTGCATAAAGAGAGACCGAGAAACAAAAGGAGGAACCAAGAATGAGACAGTAAAAATGCATACCAACCAAAGGACTTGTATGCATGCATATGAGCATAACCAAAGGACACAGAAACAGGCGGGGGTAGGCAGTTGGGGAGAGGTCAATGGGGGGAAAAGGAAGCTTATGTAATACTTTAAACAATAAAGAATTTAAAGCTAAAAAAAATGCATACCAGAGGGAGGGGCGGGGTCAAGGACTCTGGTGTGCATAATTCTGGGGCACCATTCACAAAGAATGCACTATGAATGGCATCACCCTGAGCTGGACAATACGGTGGCGAGGCTGCCACCTGCCTCTATATTTATTATGGGTAGGCCACAGTTTGGCTTGAATTTTCTCGCAGGGAAATCTGGTCAGGACTGTGTTTAAAAAACCAGTTGTTCAGAGGGAGTACAATATTCTCGGCGTGAATACCAGATGGGACTTTTTTCTAAGGGGCTACCTTATGGCAAATGCAGTAATGAGTTTCAGTGAGCTGTGTTTCATGGAGGCTGTCAATGGAGACCCATGGCATTATACCAAAACATAAAAGTCAGTAAAAACAGTTGTGCAGAGACCAAGTTGGGAATTTAAGTTCAACACAGAGTTGAAAATCACACTTTGCAAACATTCCTTAAAATGTTTATTGAGTCATCTCCTATTCCACGCTTCCTCACTCAGTGAAAGATGATAAGTCTTTGCAATGTACTCTAATTACTATAAGGGAATCATATTGACCATATGGAGGACTTGTATTTCCAAAAGCAAATTCTGACTTTTGAAGAAAAGGTATGAACTTTCAGTGGTAGCTGGTAACTTTAGGTTGGAGTTAGTAAATCATTTCCCAGCAGAGAAATATTAGATATCGAAAGAGCTCCCAATATAATAAGCTGTATAAAATATTTACTTATGGAAGTCTTAAACACTGATTGATACTAATGCTTCCACAGCAAAATGAAGAGATGCACTAGATCATTTTTTGAAGGCTCTCTCAACTGTAAAACTCTGAATGCGGAAAAGAGGACAAATCTATAATGGTTAGCATTTATTAATTCACAGAACAGGCAATTTCTGGGGCTAATAAGAATGCATTAACTATGTTTAGTAATTTATCTTCTTAAAGGTATTAGGAAACCAGAGTGTTCATTTAGTATGTAACATAATTGATAGACATGCAATGTTTAATGAATATTGTGGAGGAGTAAATTTGGTGATAGCATTTCAAGAAATCATTAAAGTAGTCTGCCTCTTTTCCTGCATTGACTAAATTATCTCTGCTTCTCTCTCTCTTACATCTTTGCTTCATTACTGGTTTTCCAGAAAATCAAATCCTCTTGAGTCACAAAAGTGAGTTGGAGTTAGTTATCAAAAGGCTTACAGCCCCCAAATGGAATGGAATTATAAGATAAAAACTGAAAGAGTATGTTAATTCTGATCCTGAAGAAGGCAGATGCCAGGAAATCTCAAACCATGATTTTGGAAAAACAATTAGTTCACTAAAATCTGGCAAGGAAACACAAGACTGAACACACGTGAACACTGTAAGTGAGGTTTCCTACAGTCAATGGTCATTTCGAGACAGTATATGTTATCAATTTGTTGCCTTTTCTCCACAGAGTCCCTGGGTTTCTAATACGTCCACAGGCCATATGCAAGGGAGACTATCATTGCAAAGAAGAGAAAGAGAAAAGGAGAAGGACAAAACAAATCCGTGTGAGGTGAAGCTGATAGACCAGCGCGGACCAGGGATATGGCGGACAATGGATGAGAGACTCCAGAGTCAAAAAAAATACTACCAAGTAAAAGGAAACAGTTTTTAATCCTTTGAGCCAGCAATCCCACTAGGAGTCTCTCCTACTGAAATAATCAGCAGTGGGCACAAAGAGGGAGCCATTGGCTTGCTCATCCCAGCACTGAATATAATCGTGAGAAACTGGAAACAACTCAAATGTCCCAAAATAAAGAACTGGTGACATCAATGGTGGTCATCCAGACAGTGGAATATTTATGTTAACAAAAAAAGAGAAAAAAATCCTATTAGGGAAGTTGGGTGATTTTTATGTTTTTAAAAATGGTCTGTTAAACATAAACATTTTCTTTTGCAAAATACTTTAAAATAAAAATGCTACCCAAGTCTGCTACCAGAGAGCAGAACATTACTTGGCAGCTTCATAAGCAGCCCCAACCCGATTCTTTTTTCATTGAAACCATCACAGCCGGGCCTTCCCTGGAACCAGAGCGCCACCTTACTAATGAATGGGACCAAACTGGCATTCATCTGCCCATGACTTTGCTGGAAGGCATCTATTCTAAGGAGCGAGGGCACATTTTCAAAAATCATTACAATTTATACCCATTCTCATTTTGATTTCAATAGTAGGATATTGGACGGCTGTGCAAATTATACTGAAGGTGCCTCTACATTTCACTCTTGCCAGTGTCCCCCTCCTGAGAGCAGCTTGTTATTAGCTAATTATATAACCCTTCCAGGTAGCTGCCGACGTGTCATACCGATGGAGCAGGAGCCTACACAGAACAGCGCTGCCAAGAGTGCCATTGCTCAGAGAGCTGGCGCAGCGAGCAGCAAAGATAAACATGCTCAAGTAGGAAAGGAAAACACAAACAAAGGTGTAAGAGCTCCGCTGGAGGAAATCTTTTATGAGGGCCAGTTGCCAACTTTCAGAAGTTTATGAATCCAAATAGAAAAGCCAGCTCTTCTGAGTTCCAGTATAATGTTTCCAATATTATTACCAAGTGTGTTTAATTATCACCATTTGAGAAATAAAGTACTGCATGGGGTGGAAAAATTACACCTCTTGAAAAATCTACCAAAAGCTGTAAAAATCCTAGGTATTCTGAAGAAGTTCTTTAACATTTTAGACACTCTGTAGCAATCAAGCTATGTTCAGTTACGTTTATACCTCTTGAAAATCTACCAAAAGCTGTAAAAATCCTAAGTATTCTGAAGAAGTTTTTTTTAACATTGTAGACATTCTGTAGCAATCAAGCTATGTTCAGTTACGTTTTTCGAGAGAAAAAGAGTTTAAATTCCTTGAAATAACTATAAATGGACATCACTTCGCCGTAATCTCAGAACCATATAGATGTAATGCGTGTAGCTGACTTCGGTCCCTCTGCTCTCTGAGCGTCCCTGACCCGCCATCGGGCCACGTGCTGACAGCCGGCTGGTGGCGGGGTCTGATTCCCGAGATTAATGTCACTGCCACGACCTCCGTGGAGATCTTTTACACTAAAGGCTTCCATGAAAGCAAGGAAGCTGATTCCACCGCTTCCTCATTACCTGATGCATTAGAATGCAGAACACTTAAAATCTCATTCACAAAACACTGTCACCAAGAGAAAAAAAAAGCACTTAAAAAAGAAATCAAGCTGCTAAACTCAAGACCTCAGGAGCAATTTAACTGAATCCCCTGGCAACCTCTGGTCTAGTTTCCTGAAGCTAAGGTCAGTCTGTCAAATCTTGACTCTGGAGAGCACAGATAACTCTAAGGGTTACTGTTATAGTTTACAGGAAAAAAGAGTTTGTCTATAGTTACCTCCAAATTATTCCCACTTTAGTTTTAAAGATCTCTCCATGAAATTATCCACATCCTTACACATTGCCAGTAACAATAGCTCTGGGCCGCTGCAGAATTGTTAAAAGCATGGCTATACTTCAAAGTACATTTTATTAGCATTTTATATTTCCAGGCTCTAGAAATATGCACACATTGGTATTATCTTGCTCTTTTCTTCATAGGACTTTTGTAAACAACTTCCCCATAATCAGGGGGGGATAAATATCTGTAGTTTTACTGATCCCGAGAGTATGAGAAAACCCCCAGCATGATGCCTGCAACTTTTGATCCTCAAACACCATTCATTTCTTTTCCTGTGTTATTCCAATTGGACTTCCTGGTCAGGGTCTTTTAGACTTTGCTGTATGTTTTTTTGAGACCATACAGTAAGAAACAGGTGTAAAAGAATTTAAATCACTTCTCTCTTTTTAAAAAATATATATATTTATTGATTTCAAAGAGGAAGGGAGAGGGAGAGAGAGA